CTATAGTTTAGAAGAAAGTCCTTTCTATTGAACTGGACTTGATAACCACACCTTGTCATCTTCATTGAATCATTGTCCTGTAACTCTTATCTCATATCAGGTTTTCATCTTCTCTGTTGCCAAGTTGACTTGCTCTTATGCAAAACTGGGCAAATCTTCAAATTTGCCTGGTGAACCTCAATGTATGCCTCAGATGATGAAGGTGCTCCAGAGGATGACCAAACAACAGATTACAAAGCAGTTGAAGGTCAAGACCAAAAAGCATCTGGGATGGGGACAAGCCGATAGTCTCACTGACAGCACTGCGATAAGCCACTAATAGAGGTAACTTCTGGTTCTAGTCCTGCTGCTTTTTGGAAATCATCAGTGGGAAGCTATTAAGGATTGTTCAATTAAAACTGTCTACCAAGCCATCTGACTGGAAATGCAAAGGTTTGGTTTTTGTCAGTGTCAAGTGCTTTGCAGAATTAATTACAGCCAAGAAGATGAAATTCCTTCCTTGATCAGAATGTAGCTGAAGAGACATTCCAAATCTATGCTACCGTGACAGTCTAGTGATCAGAGACAGGATATGCTTCAGACTACATTCTACACAAATCAATGTCTTACTGTCATCAGGAGTTCACGGTAGGTCTCGGGATGTCAAAGATGATGCATTTAAAAAGCGCTCCTACATTGAAATGTAGCAGCTACTTTCAGCACAGTTTCTTCTGTACTTTCTGACCTGCACAGGCATCACATGATTGGCACAACTTTTGCATATCAGCCCTTGTTTTACTTCAGTAGAAGAGCTCTCAAACTCTACTGCAAAGTCTTCATTATTCCAAAGCAGAATCTTGCTGAACTGTTAATGTAGTTCTTCAAGGATGTCAGCTGCCATCAGAATTTGTTTCCATCATCTGATTCGAACTTCTGGTACAAGACACCATTTTGAATATAAAATGAGTCTCAAAAAGCCCAATATTGTTTTGTTGTAGGATTATAAATCAAAATATCCTGCCACTTAGGCTTCCTGTTTGACTGAAGACTCCATGAAGTCAGTTATGGTTTCAGTGTTGTTGGCTATCTTGCAACTGGTCTTTCCCAACTTCATCACTCCATGGGTCTGAGTCAGATGATGTTGAATTGATAACTTGACCTACGACCATATTAACCAGCTTGTATTTCACTTCAACACTAGAACAATATTGGCAGCTTTCTAGGCAGGGTCTTCTACACAAAGCATTATTGTTTCTGTGTGATGATCCTTTATGAAGATGGATAGTGATGCCATATTTCTGCAGTCTCTATACAAGTCAACGATACATGATCTGTATGGAGCAGGAATTTTCTGTCGTAGAGGTGATTGTGGAAATGTTCTATGGCTTCAACTAAAGTGAGCAACACTTTTCTTGTGACACAGTAATTCCTCTCTTCTTTAAATAGACATTTGCTAAAGCATGCTATCAAATGTTCTTGACCGTTTACTTCTTGGGAAAAAACAGCACTGATACTCTCATTCCTCGCACAGGTGTGAAGAATAAATGTTTTGTCAAGCCGAGGATATATCAAGATTCTTGCAGATCTTAAAGCCTTCTTCAACTCCTAAAACATTTTTTCCCATTTCTTCATCCACATGAACTTTTGCTTACTCTCTGCCAGTTTAAGAAGGGTTCTTGTGATGGAAGAAAAGCCCTTCTGTCTTCTATAGTGGATGCAAAGCCCAAAGAAACTTCTCAGCTGATGGATACTTTTGGGGCCATCCTTTAACTGCTGACACTTTTTCTGGATCCATACACACATCTTTGGCAGAGATGACATGTCCAGCGTATGTCACTTCCTGTCTGAACAATTTACATTTGGCAAAAGTAAATTTTAGATTTGCTTCCTTCAATTTCTGAAGCACCTTCCAAATATTTTCAAAATGCTTTTCAGAAGTTTTCCTGATCATAATGTAATCCAGGTATACCAGATAGGCTTTGTAGGAATGTGCTGTCAGCTCATTCTCTTTGAGGTGTTCGAAAGTGGCTGGTGTGTTACATACTCCAGACGGCATCACACTGAACAGCCAAAATCCTTGTCAGCATTCCTCTGTTCATCGTATAATTGGGCATTTTGCAATAACTCTGATGTAATGCTCTCTGAAGACATGGATTCTGGAGTGTTAATGTTCTGATTAACATTGGTCACTGGAGTATATGCCACAACCACTTCACCTTTCTTAATAACTCTCGCCTTTTCTGTTACCTTGGCAACTCTCACCGGGATAATGGTTCACAATAGGTTGACGAGTGCTGAGGCTACTAGTACTCCTTTCGGGCTGTTACAGTTCTTGAGTTACATTTACTATGGTTCCATAGCGGAAATTTCTATTTTCGGCTATGGAGCCAGGAAGTAAAAATTCTGTTTTTACTCATACTGTGATATTATCTAGAGCTATTATTTGGCAGCCCAATTTAATTCTTTTATCTCAAATTTCAAATAAGGTTATGTCCTCAGAGACAGAATACAGAGCCTTTAAAGTCCAAGGAAAAAGTGTATTTCCTTAGAAATTCAAACCCGAGTACGAAAGTATCTGCAATGTTAGTCAAATATGCCATGTGATGGGTAAGCACATTTCCAAACAAGATGCTAACATTTAACTTTCTGTCAATATCAATTTTATGACTGGGCACATTTTGAAGGGAAAGCCAGGCAGTGCCCAGATGAGTTTACCTTCCAATTGTTAAGCCAAGTCTTTTTGAATGATGGTAACATTGGCTTTTGTATCGATGGTCATATTGCTAGGAACTCCATTTATATGATCCATGATGAAAAGTTCATTACTCCCATCATTCACTGAAGAAATCTGAAGTGATTTAAAATGGTTTTTCTTAATATCTGGCAACCTCCACCCTACAAAGATGGCCACTAATTAGTTTCCCTCCTCTTTACTGAAAGCAGTTTAGCTCCCGTGCTTTGTGGTGTTCTGCAGTTCCTTCATAAATGGCCTTCACCACTGCAATTTCAGCACATTAGGGTCAGTTCGTTCTCACTCCTGTTTCTGCCTCAAGGCACTGACTTACCTGATTAATTCATCTACATGAAATTTCATGATATCCTGGGAGCCATCGATGAAGTACTGAAGACACTCCCATGTTTCTTCATGCCTTGCTCCTGTTATTTCCCTTGTTTTTGATTAGCAGTCTAAAAGTGAGATAAGATAGACTTTCAACATCTGCGGCGAGCTCCTGGAGTGTCTCAATGGGCTTCTAGTGGTGAGATTTTAACGGAAGCCTGCAGTAGTCTTTTAAACACTTCTCACCAAAGCGCAGCTCCAACATGTGGGATAGAGCCTCTTGTTTTCAAACAGAGTTTGAAGGATATCCACTGCATCTACTCTGAGAGAAGTGAAAAGATGGCAGGTCTTAGTTTTTGAATACCATCCATTTACATTTGCCACTATAGAGAATTAAGTCTTGTCACAAGATCATTTCTTCACAGCTTTCAATACAAAGTTGAGAAGACATTACAATTTAAAGGTTGTCTGAATTGTGTCCAGCTGTCACTATAGATTTTCTCAAGCTGTCAACTTATTTGCCAACAGCCACAGAAACTCTCACTGATTTGTTGTTCAATAGCAAAAACTCTTTCTTCATTTTCTCCAACTTTATTTTCAACTGCATCTGTTTTGCCTTCCATAGCCTTAAACTCATTTATTATTATGGCAGCAACTTCTCTTTTTATTTCTTCTTGATCTGTTTCAAGCCTTCTTTGGCCAGCTTTCATCTTTTCTTAGCCTGCTTTCACCTCTTCTCTAAATGCAGCAAAGCCCATCAACACTTGTCTAAATTGCTTTTCCATCATTCTTGTCATTGGCATTAAATTACACTTCTAACACCAAAAATTGTTATGTGCATATGGACTAGACTTAATGCAAACAGAACCGATGACAACTTGATAAAATATATTTTATCAAAAGAAACACTTCAGAGTTCTGAAAATTTTCATGAAAGTACTCGTAGAACTCTGCTCAGTATGACATAGTACAATTAGTAGATATCCTTTGAAAATTACTAAGACCATTTTATAAAAGACAATATAAAAAGTTTCAAATGTGTAAGCTCAACACAGCTCTACATCTCGGTAATCTGAGCTAAACTCTTAACTAAAACTGATGCTGTTTCCAGTCTTATATAGTTTTCCCACATATGCCAAGAAATTTACAGTACTTTTGATTTCTCAAAATTGCTGGAAGACATACACAGTTTCAGTTACATAGGGCTTATACCAATTACAGTTGTATAGGCATAGGAAGAAATGTAGGCAAATGATTACTAAATTTGGTGACAAAAATTAGTTGCCAACAGCATTGCTAGCTTCTCTAGTGCTAGAAATGCTTACCTCAGATTGCTACTTACCTCAGATGTTAAATGGTCTTGCCCCTGTCAATTTCAAACAAATTTCAAACAAAAATTTTCACATTAAAAAGAACATATTTCAGAGCAGACGTATACCAAGGCACCATTGTGCTTTAATAATTTATTGAGAATTTCCCGATTTGCTGCCTTTGAATATTGCAAATAGAGTACATCAAAAGTTGAAAAATACAAACAGGAATAAAAGAAAGTGTCTTTCTGATGTGGAAAGTAGTAATTTGAATTCACTTTTTACAAAACTTTAACAAATCAGAGGTTACATTAGATGCTTTGCAATGAAGTTTTGCTGTAGAAAAAGCCATAGCATCTATCAAAATACAACGAGACTGGTTTATTAGTATTTCCAAGATTTTAAGTACTTTTTTTTTGGCAAAGGTTATTTACAAGAGTTTGATAATGCCATGAAAGAATAATTTTTTAAATGCCACACAAAAAGATTCTATTGTCAACAACAACTGGAGTAATTCTTTAATATTATGTTTAATAAATTATGCACTTAACATAAATTTCTTAAGGTTCAAATTATTAGAAACACACATTCTTTACTACCTTTAAGAAAGGAATATTAAACAACTTTCCCGAATTTCTGAAATGTATACTTACACGTAATGTATATGGTGTATGTTTACTTGGTTTGCCTTCATCGCCTGGACCTTGATTACATGATTTCAGTAATCTTTTAGTAAGGTTTATGGCAGCATGGTAACATTCTGCTTCCTAAAAACAACAAAGTCAAATGCGCTGTAGAGTAAACAACATTAAAAGTTTAAAAAAATTGCATAATTATCATTACAATAATTTTGTACACATGATTTTATTAATATAAATTTTTATCATCACCAGAAATATATTAAAAATTATTTTTAGTATCACATACATTTAATCATGCACATTTATAAAAGTTATTTCTGGATTGGATTATTTCATTATGTGTGTAATTTATTACACACATAATGAATTACCAACCTAAAGAAAAAAACCAAAGGAAACTATAAACTGTATTTCAAAGGAAAATGAACTACATTCACATAACACAGGATCAAACCTGTTTGATTGCAGGGAATAGAATTTGGTGATGGTACTAAAGTTACAGACCTCAGCAACTCAACCACTGATCAAAGAAAATTATCATGATTCTAAAATTTTACTTGTGCATTAAATGTATAGGCTTATAAAAGTAAGGTTTGTTAAAATTCTATTGTCTTTTGTACATAGCTTCAAACTTACGAAATATGTTTATTAAAAAATGTTGATAAAATATAGAAACAACAACAGAAATGAAATCAAAATCATAACACAGTACATTTTGATATACTTAGCATAATTGAGGGAATTTACTTTTAAATAATAAGGGAAAATAAATTATATATTTACAGATGAAGAAGAATTTTCTAACATTATTATAAAATACTTGTGCACACAACACGAATAAAATTTAAAGAATAACTAAAACAAACAATTCTATCATAATTAAAGGTGCTATGCTAAGTATATCTTCATATACATGAATATTCTAAGCTACAGAGGCTGTTCACAAATTTTTTAGACAACTTTCCTTGAGTAGAAAAACAAATCGCCTGCTTGGAAAAAATTTTTTAACTGCAACTTTATTTTTGAAAGTATAAATTATTATCTGCTACTTGATAATTTTGTTTTCATGCAAAATGGTGCTTTTAAAGAAGCAATGGACAAAAGGTTATGTTTGTGCTCGTTACGAAGAAAATTATTCATATTTAGTTATAAAAATGTTGCGAAAGCCATGAGTTTCCATTATCTAAAGCAATGATATATTGTCAGTAAGAAAAGAAAAAAGTGTCAAAGTTTGGCTTCAAGGAGAAATACTATTCAAATTCAACAAACACATTGAAGGAAAAAACAGAATGTTTCGAACATTACAAAGGCAAAAAGTTTAATGTTAAAAGAAAACCAGTAAAGGAAACAGTTGCTTAATCCTTAATATGCTCAGTGCCAACTGTTAACAAAATGATTAATGCTGATTTCAAGCTAAAAAAGGCAAAAACACACAATGGGAGTCGTCTTTTTCCACAACATAGCCTCGAAAGCAGAATGCACAGCAGAATTCTCCATGAGAAACAATTATTTGGACAAAAATAGAAAAATGTTGTCACAACAGATGAATATTAAGAGTATTTAAATGAATGCAATAAAAGAGATTCATTTATTAACATCAAAGAAAAGAAAAAAAAAAAAAAAAAATGTTAGACCATGGTTCAAAGAATCTAAAGAAAGTTTTTCAAAGGGATTTATGATTGTTATTGGTTTTTGATATAACAACAAATAAAGATTAAAGAGAGTGAGAAAACTGCTAACGTCAGATCCATATATTATCAGGAATATATTTTATACCCAATTTACGAATATGAAATACCTTCTCTTTACCCACAGTCTCAATCAGTAGAACTGCATCAAGACAAACAAACAACTCTGTTGATCCTTAAAACATTCATTAGACAAAATGACTGATTTTAGAACATTTAGGGGTACTTACGTATTATCGCAACCAGGTTGGCGCGATTTGTAAGTTTGAGTAAAGAAGTATGAATAGAAAGAAAATGTACATTTATTAATTACAGATAATTTTTAATACAGTTTTTTATATTATTTTGTTTTAAAATATAAAATAGCAATTAAACCCTTCCAGTTCGAATTTGAATAAGTTGCAGAATTATTTTTTCGGTGGAAATCTTTTGCCTATTGCTTTTAGCACTGTTTGAAAACCATCTTCCCCATTAACAGCTTGAGCTTGGCACCATATAAGTTCGATAAGGTATGAGTCAAAATGATGATGGCCTGTTCCTCTCTGTTTTTTGCTGTGCCATTTGGCTGAGCCCCACATGCGCTGTACACGTTGTGTGTGAACGCCCGTGTTGGGATCCACAAAGTCATATTTGTGATTAGCAGTTCCATGCAGAAATCCAGCATTTTCGAACTCACTTGTATTGTATCCTTTCCAGCAATCTGAATAAATGATGCTTCCTTCCTTGATATTTTCGCAAATTTTTTCCATGAGGGTAACGGCGCTTCTGTTAGGTACAGTAATCAAAAAAGTCTCTTTCTTTTCTCTGCAAATTCCGCCGAAAACCCATTGCTGTGGTAGTACACGCCCAGTGTTATTTTTTCTTTTTACAAATAAACTTTCGTCTAAATACATAGGGTTGCCATAAGTAGGGTTGCCAAATTTGGTGATTTATGCGAATTTTGGCCTGGTTGCGTTAATACATAAGTACCCATTTAGGCACACAAAGAAATGTATTTGACCACAATGTTTATACATTGTACAATATAACTCTGTCAATTGGTTCCAATATAAAATCCTGATCTGAAGCACCATCTCTTTGATCTAATGTAATATGTTCTTTGAAGGATTTCATCCAACTTTTGACTGTTTATATTTTATGAGCATGATTCTTTAATGCTTTCTTCAGTTGATTTTTAGATACACCAGCACTCTAGTCAAATAAACATTGCAAATTTTAAAATGGTAGGAAAAATTGTTTCTAAGTAAATCAACTTGTGTCTTTTGAATCCAGCATGAAATTTAACTGTTTGGTATATAAAAAAGAAGTACATGTAGTATGTAAGAAGTAATGCATGTAGTATGAAGTATGTAAGAAGTAGTATACTCTATGTAGTATGTAAGAACTTCAACATGAGTTTTAAACATTACAAGAATATGTTATTACTCAAATGGGCAGTCATTTGCAATTTAATGTATTATTTAGGAATGTCTGGCATTCATTTGTCATTTAGTCATTTCATCACCAAGAATGCTGTCCAGTGTGTACTAAAGGGGGCAACTCTTCTACACCCAGGAGAAAGGAGAAGCTCCATCCCAGCTTTGATGGAAAACATTCAGATGGGGGTGGACTGATCTAAGGATTTCCCACTTAAGATCTAAGGATTTCCCACTTGCACATACTAACACACCACTCGAGAAGACTTCATCTTGCTGCATGATTTAAATGCCCCTATACTACATAGACAATATATACTTACAAAGACACTTATCCTCTCTGAAATTCAAATCCAGACCTAATGATACAGTAGCCAGCATCACTAACCACTATAACAATCATAGCAGCATTATGAGAATGCAAAGTGCACACACACAAAAATAAATAAGTAAATAAAAATCAAATTTGCATTAACCAATTTAGTAATGCAGCTGCTCTTTAGAATATGAATCAAATACACAAAATACTTTTGCTTATTTGCATGACTAATGAAAGGTAAGCATACACACTATATCAAAAGATTTTGGATCAACAATAACTCAAGGGACTAAAACATAATTTCTGATTCCTTAATACTTTGATAATTGAGAAAGATTACAGTCAAAAGTCATTAATTTGGACACCCATAATCCGGACCTCAAAGCTAGAAACTTTCTATGCATGCGCACAGGCGTATTATGATTCCTTAATACTTTGATAATTGAGAAAGATTACAGTCAAAAGTCATTAATTTGGACACCCATAATCCGGACCTCAAAGCTACAAACTTTCTACGCATGCGCACAGGCGTTTATGAGTGCGCATAAGACCTTTATGGCTGCAAATATGTGTGTGTGCATGCGCGTTTAATGTGTAACGGATGGTATAAGCTAAGCTAAAATTATCTAATTCAGTTAATGTTGCAGATTGCATTGTTCCTTAATCTTCGAATTGGATCCGGCTTATTATTTTTTGCAGACTGTTAGAGCAATTTTATAAAAGTAAGCTTGAACTTTCGATTATGCAAATAGAATATCAGATATATATTTCCTAATATGTAAAGGATCTACAAAGTGAAAGTATGTTTCGAAACCCAAAATCTGTTTATCAATTTCACGCTGCAGCGCGCAATGAATTCGAAGTTAATCTGCCAGCACTATCCTTATCTTCAGGGCAGATGTTTTTATTTTATTTGGCTTATAATTCCTTATTAAGTGTAGTATTTCTTCTCGATGTACTCCGTCTTTGATATGATTTAAATCAAGTTCCTCGTCATTATAATTCGCTTCCGATAGTGAAGAAAGTGACCCAGAGGTTATTAAAAATGAAAAAATTTCGATTGACAAATTAGTCGGTATTCTCAACACAGCAATTATAGGACTTGAACAGCGGAACTTTGTAATTAAACAAGAAATTATGTCTTTTTAATAGAATTAAAGAGAAAATATTATCACATGAAAGGAAGCAACTTACACTGAAAGAAATGTTTAATAAAGTAAACAAATAAATATTAAGCTTTTTCTTTTTGTAAATTTTGATACCCTTTAGATCATAATTGTTCTTTATTTAATAAATTATGGTTTCATATTTTTAATTTTGTAATTTCTGCATGCCATCTTACAAGATTTAAACTGATGATCTATAATCCGGAATCGCCGAAGTCCCGATGAGTCCGGATTAACGACTTTTGACTGTATATACTCAGAAAATGTATTTGTTACATCTTCACAACAAAGCAACTTTAATGATAAACGCTATGAAGGCAATGGATACAAATGGAAAGAATTTCTATTTTTAAAATGCAAAGCTTCCCAACATCAATGAAATCAAAATAAAGAAATGCATCTTTTTCTGTTCTTTAAATTAGAGACCTGATGAGTTATCTTGAAATTGTAAGGTGGAGATTATATCTGATGGATGAATGAAAATCCTTTACAAATGCAACAATGAACTCATTAGATAATTTAAAGGCAAGAAATTATAGAGAATTAATTAGTGAGCTTCTAAAAATTTAAAAAGCATGGCGTAACATGTTAGCTGAGACCCATTTCCTGTGTAGAAGGATAGCTGTTATCGTCAATGTTCTCAATAGATACTTTCCAGAGCTGCTTTTTAGCATTGTCTGGAAATACCAAAAGAAAATGCAGCTAAAATTATCATGGAAACTTTAAGACAGATTTATTAGGATTATAAATATTCCAGAAAAGTATCAGGAACATAGACAAAAGTAAAGTAATCATCATATAAACTTACCATTAATTTCTGTAAACCAATTTCATCTTCTGTAACATCAGAAACAGTTAGGACTTTTCTTTTCTGGGCTTCTGGAGAATTACATTCAATTAAAAGTGCTTTTACAGGATCTTCCTGAAATAAACAGATGTTTCTTGGACATATAAACAAAACATTATGAAAGCAATTCAACATACATAAAAGAGTAAAAAAAATGCAATATCTTTTACTGAAGCTATGATTGAAATAATAGTATACAGTACGAGATCCGGACTCGTCGGGACTTCCGAATTTGGCAATTCCGAATTTGGGATTTTTTCAGATATTAGATTATCAGTTTAAAACTAGTATGATGGCATGTAGAAATTATAGAATTAAAAATATGAAATCGTGATTTATGTAATAATGAAGCATTTATGATGATCTAAATGGTAACAAAATTTACAAAAAAAAAAAAAAAAAAAAAGCTTAATGTTTATTCGTTTACTTTATTAAACATTTCTTTCAATGGAAGTTGTTTAAAATGCCTTTTTTTTTTTGTAGTAATATTTTCTCTTTAATTCTATAGACAGACATAATTTCTTATTTAGTTACAAAGTTCCATTGTTCAAGTCTTGTAATTTGTTGAGTCCAGAATTCTAGCTAACTTGTCGATCAAAGTTTTTTCATTTTCAATAACCTTTCTGTCACTTTCTTCACTATCAGTAACAGTATTTTCTGGATCTAGAACCATACTACAGATTTCACTGTACGTTAATTGATTATCATTGAGGCATTATCATCACCATGAAAAACTGCTATTATATCATCTTTATTTATTACTGCTTCTCCATATTTCTTTACAAAATTCATTAAATAGAAAATTTCACCTTTGGATTGTGATATCCAAAAACCTTCACATTCGCAGCTATTGTATTCTTTATCCTGACCATAAAATATGGCAGTTGGCCATAAATTACGCCAAGCATTTTTTAAAGTATCTAGAAACACATCCTCCCAGGATCTTGAGATTCTCCACAAACCAAATTTGATGCTAAAATATTTCAAAAATTCTTGAACAGCCTTGCCATTATTCAAGAAATTTAACATGGATTTTAAAAATTCTACTTTATATTGCATTTCAACGTGTGCACTATTCCAACATCCATACGCTGAATGATGGATGCCAAATTCAGAGGAAAAAATAACATGGATACATTATGTTTCACTAAAACTTTTAAGTGAAGCATGAGCCGAACAGCTGTCTACACTCAGGACAAATTTTACATCATCAGGTACACCAAACGAATTCTGCCAAGCCTCGGGTATGAAATAATTTTCAAACCACTCATTCATTAACAATTGTGTCATTCGTGCTCTTTTATTCGCACAATATATAAGGGGGAAAAGCTTTACTTCTTTAAATGCTCGAGGTCACGTACTTTTCTGATTACAAAACATTTACATGTGTGCATTCCTGCAGTATTTGCACATGCTAAAATTGTTATATCACTTTGGAATCTTTGACATCAGTTGGAGCCTTTTCTATAGAGGATGCCAAGGTATTTTCGGTGCATATTGTCACAAAAGATCAGTTTCATCAGTGTTGTAAATTTGTTCTAGAGATAACTTTTCACTATTAATGCATTCGTCTGCAAGTAGTCCAGCAGCTCCAGTATTAGCTGAAGCTTTTTCACCTGAAATTTTTATTTGCCTTATACCATGGCGATTTTTAAATTTGGTTAACTAATCTATTGAATATGTGCACTCAGTGTTTAAATTCCTTTCTTAATGAAATATTTTAGCTTGAGCCATTAGCACTGGACCCGTCAATGGCATACACTCGCTGCGACACTGTCTGACCCATTCAGTCATCACTTTGTCATAGTCTTCACTTTTAGCATATCAGATAATTTTTCTGTTATTCATTGCGAGTGGGGTGTCAGAATCCACTAAAAATTCAAAAAGTTCTTTTTCCATTTTCTTATGTCATACAAAAGTTAAGTTGGATCAAATCAGAAAGTCAAGGAATAGTGCAACCTGCTATATTGCCTGAAATTCCTTGGAATCAGTAGAGTATAACTTTAGCCTAGATTAACAGCGTTTGCTATGCATTATTGGCTATGTATCATGCGACTGGTGATGAAAGACAAGTTGTTCCGTTAAATTTTGTCTTGCTTCTATCGCATACTGAGACAATTAAGCCTGAATTGTATTAATTATTTATTATACTTACGTCTATTTCTTCCACTTACTTATGACTTATCTAAGTCCTGAACAAATAAATTCCTACATATAGTTAAGGCTTATCGAAGGCTCGTGCTAGACATCTTGCCACTTGATGCAGTCCCCGTGGGTCCAAAATTCTGCTACCAAGTGCCTTCCCAAGTTTTAAATTTTTGCCACCCCTAAATTCTGAATTGCAGTGCTTTCCCTAAATTTGAAATTTTTTTTCATCTTTTAATCTTGTTGCTAGGTGTTTCTCTAAAATTCCAAAAATTTTGTCTCTCCTAAATTCTGCGGTCCAGTACGGCTATACGAGCTCTGGCAAAAGTTCTGGGTTTATGTGAAAAACAAATCAGTTATTCTCAATTCAAATAGCACTAAATGTAATCTTTTGGCCTAAGAGTATCATTAGCAAAACCTATTTTTAGCATATGGAAAGAAATGTTTGTTAAATGTTTGCTCGTCAACATTACTTAGCGCATTTTAACTTAAATCTGTAATCATTGCCAAGCATAATATCAACATCAAAGGTTACCATACTTTTTGTTATTAAATTACGAACATAATAAAATTGTTTTTGGCAAGGCTGCATGAGTCATTATTCAAGTTGTCATGCACTGATAAACATGCAATGATGAAAGCAAAATATAATAAACAATGATCCGTCAGGCTAGTATCAGGGATATAAAATATTACAGTACAAAGTCCGTAATCTGGACGTCCATTATCCGTAATGGTTTATAATCCAGACCTCAAAGCCATAAGCTTTTTTTTTGGTATCGTTTACGCATGCGTGTTTAATGTATACCGGATAGTATAAGCTAGGCTAAAATTATTTTTACTGATTCGAAGGCATTTCAGTTAATTTTGCAGATTGTGCTGTTCCTTAATCTTGTAATTGGATCACGCTTATTATTTTTTGCAGACTGTTAGAGCAATCTAATAAAAATTAAGCTTGAACTTTCGATTATGTCAAAAAGAGTTTCCAATTCTGGAGCTGCCAAAGGATCACAAAGCGAAAGCATGTTTCGATGTACCGCTTCCGATAGTGAAAAAAAGTGACAGAGAGGTTATTTAAAACAAAAAAATTTTGATTGACAAGTTAGTTGGTATTCTTGACACAGCAATTACAGGACTTGAACAGTGGAACTGAACAAGAAATTATGTCTGTTTATAGAATTAAAGAGAAAGTTTTAGCACAATAAACAAAGCAACTTAAACAACTTATATTGAAAGAAATGTTTAATACAGTAAACAAATAAATATTAAGCTTCCTTTTTGTAAATTTTGATACTCTTTAGATCATAATTGCTCTTTATTTCATAAATTATGGTTTCCTATTTTTAATTGTATAATTTCTGCATGCCATCTTACCAGATCTAAATTGATGATCTATAATTCGGAATCAGCAAAGTCCCGATGAGTCTGGGTTACGGACTTTGTACTGTAGTAGGTAAAAAAAATCAACGATATTTTTATGTAGAATGTTTTGGTTTGAGACATATATGAAGCAGATACGCAACTACGGAGCCAAATTATTAATTACACAAATTTGTGCTAAATTCTTGTGTCTTCAGTAATGAGGTATTTATTTAGTGCCGACGTGAAATTAGGAATCGAGACTCTCCACGTTTTATCATGGGGGGGGGGTGGATTAAATGCACATGCGTGAAGCATACAACAACAACAACAAAAAAAAAAAAAAAAAAAGTTGGTGGCTTTGAAGTCCAGATTTTAGATATCCGGATCTCGGACTTTGTACTATATGTATTCCAATAATTATCACACAAAAAGTGCAGAATAACTAAACTATTCTATTAAATTTGACTTTGATGCTCTTTCCTCTCCCAACAATAAACCTAAGTTGTTAAGCTGCTTGGAATTACGCCAATTCATCAGTGTTTTATAGCAGCTTATACAAAATCACAAATTTGTAACTATACAGTGAAACTGGTGACTTATAATATACAAAAGTGCAATATGTACATATTGCATAGAGCTAGAAATTAATTAGTTTGTTACAATTTTTTTGTTTTAATAAAGGAAGCAAGCAATATAAATACATTCAGAGATTTTCCTTTGAGCTTGGGATTTATGATGGTATTGAATAATCAAGCTATTATGAGAATCAATATTGAATAATCAAGCTCCTTAAAAGACTTTCGTGAGTTAGTTCAGAGCCAGATATTCAAAAGCATTACATGAATGCAAGTTGTCCATCAATCCAAACCAAGTAGCAAAGGTATCAATTTAAAGCAATATTTTAAAATCAATTTAAAGCAATATATTTATAATGCACTGGGATCTAAGTCCACCAGCACCCAAATGAAAAGAAATGCAAATTACTGATCCATATTAAATTCCTGGCGAAGAGGTTGTCTCATTCCTCCTAAAACAAGCAGCTCTTAAGTGCTTTGCCATAACACACTAAAAATAATGGAACTAGATAAGAAACATATATTTGGCATAATAGCTTTCAGAATAATAGCAGATAGCAGAAATAATAGCAGAAATAGAATTTTGGCATAATAGCAGAAATACTTTCAGTTCAGCAAACTTGTTAAAATTTAATTGCAATAATTAAAGTAAATTATTGCAAAAATTTGTGTTTTTATTAAACTCTTCATTTTTTAACATTTTAACATAGATCAGTGAGGAATCAATAAGAAAAACTAAAATATAAAGTAATTTAGTCGCATTCTAACATTATGCAGTTTACTTTCATTACTACTACCATCATACAGGACATTTGTTTCAATGTGAAGAGTGCATACATGAGGGAGAAAATACTATCAGAACAACCATAAAAATTAAGAGTTCTTTCTTTTCCTTCCTTTATATAGCATGCATGTGTGTATGTATATTTTACACTTAAAACCATTACCCGTGCAGTGTTCCAGTCGTTAAATTGTTAGAATGCTATCACTGGTGAAGCCACAATATTGGATCACATTATTAAATAAACTAAACCTGAAAAATACATTTAAGGTGTTTCCACTTTGAAAAGAGTATCTTTCAAACAGCAGTTTCTATGATAACTAAATGATTTTTCTGTTATACATTGAAGTAAGATGAAAAACCTGAACATACCAAATTAAGCAGTTAAACTGTATAGCTATCAACTCAGCCTAAAAAAAAAAAAAAACTTTCATTGTTTATTTGTTTAGCCACTCAAAAATGTACCATTCCTTAATGGTTTAACTACACTACCATTGCTTAAATAACATAAGAGACAATGTGTAGATATTCATATAAATTGATTTACTATTTTTTAAAATGCTTTAGAAAAATATATACATTATTCATATTTTTACCATTTCTTCATCAATTATGATTCCTGGCATTGTCAGCAAATTTTTATCTGGAACAAAAGAACTAGATGTATTCACAGATACCAATGTGTGACGAGTTCTCTCTGAAGGAATCCAAGCTTCTTCAATTTCTCCATTACACACTGGTGATGCTAAGAATTGATTTTGAGATGAATTATCTGGTAAAATTTCTTTGTGAAGTTCTACTGTGGCAGGACCCTTTGGTAATTTTTCTTCAGCAATTTTATCAAAAAATGCTTTGCCATCCCTATCACTGCCACTTTTATCTTCAGCAAAAAACTTCAGCAAAACTGGAGGAGGTTCTTTTTCTGAACAGGGGGAAAAAAAAATATTGTTAATAGAGACAGATGAATATCCTTTGGATCTCTGAATATGTACAAAATGCATTTAAATAACAAAAATATCTAAATTTTTTGAAAAATATTTTCCTCAAAAACAGAAAAATAGAATAGCAGTCTTAGCTTGAATTTTCTTGTCAGGATATAGTGAAAAAAATTTGGATTCACATAACATGCAAAATAATGATTACTGGAGAAGTTAAGACAAGAATCAGTGTAATGTTCATAAATTTTCAGGATTAGTTTTGAAGTTTGAACAGAACCTTCTTCTTCAATTGCAGAATTGCAAATAAAGTACATTATCTGAAAAAAAATATAAGGCAATTTTTCATTAACTAAGCAGCAATCATTGTCAAACATAAGAACTATGTGATATGTACCCTAAGATAATAGTGAGAGCCTTAAAATACATTCAGTATATATTGGCGATACCACAAAAACAAAATTTAAACTTATGATTACTTGAAAGAAATCTTTCGCTGTGGATAATCTATTTTTCATGAAATAATTTAAATCGCAGATCCTTAGTGATTTAACAAATAATAAAACCCATCCTGGTCAATGTCCCACATAAGAACTGACATAAATATAATCTAAAATTATGAGAACCCTAACTACACATTTAATATGTATTCGTGATACCACCAAAATAAATAAATAAGCAAAAAAATTTGAAAACTTTCAGCTTTTATACAGTCAAAAGTCTTTAATCTGGACGTCCATAATCCGGAATGATCTATAATCCCGACCTCAAAGGTACAAATTTTCTGTGCATGCGTAAACGCATTTGCATTTACGCATGCACATAATACCTTTACGCAAGCGCATATGCGTTTACGCATGCAAGTAATATGTTTACGCATGCATGTTTAATATATAATGGACGGTATAAGCTAAGCTAAAATGATCCAATTATCTATTTCAGTTAATGTTGCAGATTGCATTGCTCCTTAATCTTCTAATTAGATCTGGCTTATTATTTTTTGCAGACTGTTTAATAAAAGTAATTTATAAAAGTAAGCTTGAACTTTCGATTATGTCAAAAAGAATTTCCGATTCTGGAGCTGCCAAAGGATCTACAAAGCGAAAGCATATTTTGATGTCCATCAAACAAAAAGTGGAATTGCTGCAAAAATGGATAAAGGCATATTCTTTGTTTCTCTAACCATTCCGAAATCTGTTTATCAATTTTACGCTCCCCTGCGGTGGGGGGGGAGTATGTTTTGAAATCCGAAATCTGTTTATCAATTTCACTCAGGGGATTGGAAGTTGATCTGTCAGCACCATCTTTATCTTCAGAGCAGATGTTTTATATTTTATTTGGCTTATAATTCCTTACTAAGTGTAGTATTTCATCTTGATGTACTCTGTCTTTGTTATGATTTAAATCAAGTTCCTCGTCATTATAATTCGCTTCCGATAGTGAAGAAAGTGACCCAGAGGTTATTGAAAACGAAAACATTTCGATTGACAAATTAGTCGGTATTCTCAACACAGCAATTATAGGACTTTAACAGCGGAACTTTGTAACTAAACAAGAAATTATGTCTGTTTAATAGAATTAAAGAGAAAGTATTATCACATGAAACGAAGCAACTTACATTTAAAGAAATGTTTAATAAAGTAAACAAATAAATATTAAGCTTTTTCGTTTTGTAAATTTTGATACCCTTTAGATCATAATTGTTCTTTATTTCATAATTACGGTTTCATATTTTTTAATTTTAGAATTTCTGCATCCATCATCTTACGAGATTTAAACTGATGATCTATAATCCGGAATCGCCGAGGTCCTGACGAGTCCGGATTAACGACTTTTGACTGTAATGATCTTTAAATAGTTATTTACTCTTATGCTTCCATTCAGTTATGTTTAGCCCTTTTTATATAAATTATAATAATAAAAAAGTATTACATGAAATTAACCTTTCATCTAAATTAAAACAATAATCTTGGATAGTTATTTACTATTATACTTCCTTTCTTGCGATAGGGTTGCCGGATTTATTTTTGGCAGCACTGGCATCAACAATAGTTTGGTGATTTTTTATGGTCCTCAAAACGGAATAGTACCAAATATTTTATTCCATAGAATGTGTTGTTACTGCTCGATTTGAAACTGTTGAGTTTCTTAGTTAAAAATTCGTTAAGTTTCAAAAATATGAAATAGAGAATAAAACAAATTCAAAATTCAAGATTTGGGTGAAGGGCTACATTATTCAAAATTTGATGGCTCTAGGTACTTTTGTGTTTTCATACTGCGAGAAACATACATTCGTGCAGAACTTCATTATTAACTTCTTTAAATATAATGCAGGGCAATAATATTTGGTGGCAACAATTTGAAGAATCGATACAGCCATTCATAATGAATTTCGAGCTGTTTCGAGACTAATAGCAATTCTGGGCTAACGTTCTTTTGGGCTTAAAAACAACAACAACAACAAACAAAAAACAAAAAAAACTATGGCTAACTTTTTTATGAAAAAATTATTTACACACTCTCTTAGTCATTCATCAAATGATAAAACCCGTCTTAGTTTCTAAGAAATTAGTAGTTGGTCAAAATTTCACAAAAAAAAATGTGCTTGGATTAAAAAAAAGTGCAGAATTACAATATTTGGCATGGCTTGTGATGTAAGGTAGCTATCACTGATATGCCTGTATGTTTCCACTGCTGTCTTACTAACAGGGGCATATTTAATATTTTTCTTCATACAGCACTATTTATAAATACAAAACAATGCATACTGTAAGTTATTTACCACTTCAAAATCATAATTGAGTAAGCACCATCTTTTATTTGTTACTTTCATTTTATACAATTTATGACAAATCATTTCTAATTCCTTTTAACATATTTGTACACAACACATTTAAATACAGATCTAAACTGCACTTGTGGCCAATAAGAAAGATTTTTTTCTATTTTGCCTATGGTAGGCTGCCCCTCCTCTGGCAATGTATTCTTTGCACCTACCATACATTCTTTCCATATAAATCTAATAGCTATTTTTTAACACAAATTAATAATTACAAGGCTAAAATAATTTTTTATGCTGGCATTACTTACTAATAGAATCTTCAAATGCTTCTTCTGCAATCTCGGTTTTTTTCTCCACATCTGCTGTTTTATTTTGCCCAAAATTGCTGCTTCCTTCAGCAGTACCACTGGTTTCTGATTTTACAGCTACTGTACCTTGAGCACTTTCTGCTAAAGCATTAAAAAATTCAACACCTTCTGAATCAATTTTTGTAGCTGGGACTGGATTAACCCTGAAGTACTTGCTCAAAGTATTTTGTTCACATTCTGTAGCTGACTAAAATGAAAAAATATATGAAAATTTAGAACAGTAAAAAGATTTGGGTGAATGTCTACAATAAACATCCATGATAGACTACAGTATTTCTTAACAAATCAGTGCAGTATTTTTGACAAATGGTGTCACCAGATCATTGCTACTTTCCCTAATTCTTTGCTCACATTTAAGTTAAACAAAAAAAGTTACAAGAAAACTTTATTGCTGTCTAAATACATAAACTAACGGAGCTCAAGACAGTTAATATTAAATGCTGCAAGCAGTAATTTATAAATTATAAAAACCTGTTTGGTAAAAATTGCCCTTTTTTAAATATAGTTACTGCGATTTTTCAGATTTTTTAAAATTTACTGAAATTAGTACATTTTACATTTATATTTCAAATTAAATGATGCAATCAATTAAATAAAAAATTATTTGATTATACTACTAATATTCTGAATACTGTCTTAGGCAGTTTTACATCAGCAAACAAACATGAAGATAAAATAACAATAATTATTTAAAAACATTTTCTTTGAAATATATAGATTATAATATTCTGATATGTTTTATTTGTGCAAACTATTTCACCTAGAAGTAATTGTTAGCAACTCTTGTAATATATAAAGCAGGATAATTATCCTACTGCATAAAATGGGGTATGAATCCTACTGTCGCAGTACCTGCTTTAAGAGACAGCCAATGAGCGGCATCACAACAAATGTTGAAACTGGAACCTAGAAACCTCTTGCTACACATTTGCAAAAGTGTCAGCATGCTAAACATGGTTGATGTCATTACCTATTGCTGTGATATTCTCATTCCGTTGCTGGAATGTCTGCAGTTTATTAACATATCTCTTTTGATTCAGATGTGTAAAAGAAATGTGGCAGGGTGAGATCTGAAGACATAGAGGTAACAGTCCTTCTGAGATAATATAATCTTTAAAAAGAATGGTAAAAATTATCACAGACTTATTACGCAACTTGTTCTTTTTCCAAAAGGATAGGTGTAAACAGGTTCTTTACAGATTGCATTACTTTTGTATGACCTTAGCCATCAAAGACTCTACATCTTAAATGTAGCTCAAAAAGGTTGAAATACAAACATAAATGAATATAAGTACATCCTAGTTTGTGCTAGGATTTGATAAACTATGCAACAATAAGTATGCTTTGATTTTACACTGACAAAAAAGTGAAGAGATTGCCATTTCATGAATGGCTTCTTTTACTTAACATTTTTATTAAGACTAAATTACTTCTACGATGTATTTTCATGATTAAAAACTAAAGTTTAATTGAATATTAGGGCAAAAAATAATTTTTTTAATAGAAAAATTAATTTAAAAATTGTAGACTTTCTTATATACTGGTAAAATTGTTTTCTTCAGATTAATTTATTAATTTTTAGCACTTAAATGCTTTTTCCAGTTTACAGAAAAACAATATTTAGCCTGGTGATTTATAACTTTTAAAAGACCCTTAAAAAGACTGCTATTAAAACAAGGCTGTCTCAAAAGGAATAATAGATTAATGGGTGTTGGGTAGTGTTTTGGGGTCCTTTGCTACACCAACTCTCTCAAGAATAGCAATTAAATTTGCCAAAATGTAGATTCCTATACATTTCGAGGTGCATATAGCACCCATACAGTAAAAAAGCACTTGCATAAATTAATGATAGACAAAACTACTAAGGTAGGAAATTGAGTTTTACCATATATCTCTTACAGAAGTTTTAAAAAATATAATTAGTCAAGGAAGCCTTCTGGTACAGAAGCACACGATTTCCTACAGAACTGCTTTTGAAGTAAGTTGATCTATCCACTTTTCTACATAAAAGATTCTACAATTACATATGACGATTTTATACAATATGATAGAATCTGATAATTTTTATACATAATGGCAAATTAGATTATTTTGAAAAAACAATGTCAAAATTTTTAGAGCATGTTCATTATGTCTAGCACTCTTATCAAAATATAAAATAATAATTTTTATACCAAAAGTCTACTTTTTTATAATAGCTACTTTTTAAAAGTTATTGAATAAATAAAAAGCTTCCATTTTGTGTACTAAGAATGCTCAGATGCATATTTATTTGAAACAGAATTGAGAAAAAAATATTATAATTACATGAGGTCTTTGAAAAGACATTTTGTGTACATCTGACTGAATATTGCCATCATTCATACTCAAAGATCTCAGCTGTAATGTCAAATTTTCTGATTTTTCAAGATTTGGAGACCCACTTCTTGGTGATGCCTCCTGACCAGAAAGTTCTAATGGAATTGTTTCCAAAACTCCAAATTTTGAGTCTGAATCAACTCTCTTAATATTTTTTATTTCAGATGTAGTTGAACATGGTTTAGGATGAACTATGCTACATTTATTAGCATTTTCAATACTGAGATCCAAGGAAGATGGCTGAAGACTTTTCAGCTCTGCTGTGGCACTGGCAGAATTTCTGCGGACATTTTCGGTCTCAACAGCTAATTCCGGAACTTCATCTCCTGGTGTTTCCATGATCTAAAACCGATAAGAAGCATTTATTATGCTGATGAATATTGCTACATCAAAATAACCTTTAATATTCACATATGATAATAAAAAATAGAAGAACAAAATTGTGGCATATAAAAATCAGTTCAGGATTAAAAAAATGTATTTGGCAGTACTTTTTTGGGGAGTTGTCATTTTTTAAAGTGTTTTCTTGGGAGATGTCCTTTTTTAAAGTCTTTAATGATAAGGGAATAAAATATAAATAGAAATAAAAAAAAATGGAAAATAGCACATGCAAATGCAAAAGTTTCATTCGCTTCCACTGCAACATTATGTTTAAAAAAAACTTCAGAAATTTATGCATAATAATTGCACAATAAAGTCTGAGATCAAGACTACTCGAGACTTCAGCGATTCTGGATTTTTTATCATCAATTTAAATCTAGAAAGATAACATGTAGAAACTATAAAATTCAAAATATTAAATAGTTGATTATGAAATAATGAAGCATTAATTATCTCAAGCTTATGACATATTTTTTCCCTTCTTTCTGCATGCCTTCGTGGTGTAATTGGAGACATTTTCAATGCATATTCAAGAGGTCCACTTTTCGAGGCCCAGCAAAACCCTTGCATATTTTTCATGTCTCTTATTTCAAAATACTAAATAACTCTATTAGTGGCCCCCAAACTAAAAGGTGGCAGATGATAATTCATTCACACCAGGATTTGGTGACTGAATCCCCTAATGCTCAACTGCCTTTTAAAAGGAGGGGTATATAAAGCATTTTCTCCCTCCTTTTTGCATGCCTTCATAGTGTAAGTGGAAGCATACTCAACTTATATTTGAGACATACAGGTTTGAGTCCGGGAGAAGGCGCTGCACATTTTTCATACCTCCTGCTTCAAAATAGCCTAGTGGCTCCGCAAGGTAATCAAAATTTAGCAAAAAACTCAACATGTACTCACTTGTTTCATTAAACATTTAGCTCAAGTAGTTATTAATCTGCTTTGTTTTTGGTGTTAATACATTCTCTTTAATTTTATAGAGACATAATTTCTTGTTCAGTTACAAAGTTTCACAGTTTATTATGTTCTAACAGAAAGTCACTTCTTTGAAATCTAATTCTTTTCTTTTCCTCATTATTCTGCCAACAAAAATAAAACTGTATGACTAATAAATAGTACTCCATTTCAAATAAGTGTACCTTGGCACTTCACATATTATTTAGGTCAAATAAAAAATGTTCCCTATCCCCTACATAATTACTCAAAGGCCAAAAGTGTGGTTGTGGCTAATGCAAATCATACTGTAATATCTTAGAGAATGAAAGTAAAATGCAAAGCTACTACATAAAAAGCACCATCTGATGACCTACAATGTTTTGAAAGTAAAAGGGTAATTATTTTAATACTGGACTTCACTTACAAAGTTGGATTCACTAGCTTCTTGCCTCACATATTTTCCTTAATTTTGCGTTGTTATTTAATAAAGAGTTATCCAAGGCTCCTGGTTGCTTCTCGAGATCATATGCTTAGCCTAGTCTTCAGGAGCAATGCCCACCAAACACAAATGTTTGCATCCCTCTGTACCCAAGTTACTCTTGTGTTTGATCAACTCATCATTTTCACAATTTTAACACATAGTGACATGTCCAATACCTCATAGATGATATAAAAGTTTAAGCACGTTTCTGCAATATACTACAGATTTAAAGCCGAGGGAAAATGTAGCTATCAAATTTTCTATAAAAGCATCATAAAAGTGCATGAATTGATTAACAGCATATATCAAAGATACTTTTTCAGTCCATTAGTTCATTTTTATTTTAAACACCACAGAAAACTTCTCAACACATAGATTTGGACTGGATTGTGCAGCAAGGTACACAATGAGTATCTGCATAAGGGAAGGGACAAATTCATGAAATCTCGGTACTTTTCCGTTTTGCCGGCGCAGGCAATAAAATCGCCAATAATGGTTCAACAGATGCCAAACGGAATATCCTTGCTGGTAACCTTTTACTCCTCATTTTCAAAACAAGTCACAGCCATCTTATCAGATTGATGTTTCTTTCAATACTGGCACACAATTACATAGAATTTTTGGGTCCGTGACACTTAGCCGATGGGACACCTAACCAACACCAGTTAGTCGACAGGGACATTTAGCCGAAACGGACACTTAGCCGACATGGACAGTTAGCCGACAAGACAATTAGCCGACAAGGACACTTAGCCAACAGGACATTTAGCCGACACAAACAGTTGGCCAACAAGGAAACTTAGCTGACAGGACATTTAGCTGACATGGACAGTTAGCCGACAGGACATTTAGCTGACACGAACAGTTAGCCGACAGGACATTTAGATAACAAGGATACTTAGCCGACAGGACGTTTGGCCGGCACAGAGAGTTAGCCGTCAGGACATTTAGCTACGGGACACTTAACTGTCAAGACATTTAGTCAACATGATACTAAGCTGACAGTGATGTTTAACTGGCATGTACCCAATAATTATTTAAACTTGCTATCAATTACAAAATTTCTCGACTTCTCCATAAGATCAATATTTAAGTTATTTTTTCACCTATCAGTAAAATTCATTTTTCGATTCTTATAGATCTCATATGTGCTTTTAATTATTGTGTTAATTTAGCATTGTTGGATATGTATCGTGCTGTTTGGTATATATTGGCCAAACTGACAGATTGGAAATAGTGCTGAAATTTCTCGTCAGGGAATATGAATTAAATTTCGAAAGGAAAAAAGAATTTTTTTAGCTAAGTATGGTGGTCACTTAATTATATTTGGGATCTTCAAAAATTATCTGCAATGCTTCTTCATTAAATCAGCTGGGTTCTTTTGAACACTTTCACATCATTAATAATTTTTCTTGTTTACTTAACGATATTAATTTTCCAATCTCGCTGTTCTAAATGCTTTCAAATTTCTAATACCTTTACGTTTCATTACTATTTTACTCAATACATCATGTTACATTCTTTTCTTTACAAAATCGTTTCGCTGCTCCCACAAATAAAATTTCCTTTCCCTGTCATGAAAAATCTAAATAATGCAATAAAAATCGTTATTCTTGAAGTATACTTTTTATAGAAACATATGGTGGTGAAGGGTTAATTTCGAAATATATATTTTGTTATTAGAAACAATTAAAAAGAGTGCATCAAGACAAGCAAAGGTATAAATTATTGACCTCTATAATGCCACCTTGAGATAAAAATTCTGTAACAGTTTATTGACCACTCCTCTCTCTTAAAATACTTAGGTTAATGTTTATACAGTCAAAAGTCGTTAATCCGGACTCGTCGGGACTTCGGCGATTCCGGATTATAGATCATCAGTTTAAATCTCGTAAGATGACATGCAGAAATTCTAAAATTAAAAATATGAAACCGTAATTTATGAAATAAAGAACAATTATGATCTAAAGGGTATCAAAATTTGCAAAAAGAAAAAGCTTAATATTTATTTGTTTACTTTATTAAACATTTCTTTCAATGTAAGTTGTTTAAGTTTTGCTTCGTTTCATGTGATAATACTTTCTCTTTAATTCTATTAAACAGACATAATTTTCTTGTTCAGTTACAAAGTTCCACCGTTCAAGTCCTATAATTGCTGTGTCAAGAACACCAACTAATTTGTCAATCGAAATTTTTTTTTGTTTTCAATAACCTCTGTCACTTTTCTTCTTCGCTATCGGAAGCGAATTATAATGACGAGGAACTTGTTTTAAATCATATCAAAGACGCATAATCGAGATGAAACTACATTTGTAAGGAATTATAAGCCAAATAAAATAAAAACATCTGCGCCTGAAGATAAAGATAAGTGCTGACAGATCAACTTCCAATTCATCACGCGCCGCTACGTCTCCCCCCTCCCCGCAGAGCAGCGTGAAATTGATAAACAGATTTCGGATTTCAAAACATACTTTCGCTTTAGATCCTTTACATATAACAAATATATCGGAAATTCTATTTGATATAATCGAAAGTTTAAGCTTACTTTTATAAAATTGCTCTTACAGTCTGCAAAAAATAATAAGCCGGATGCAATTCGAAAATTAAGGAACACGCAATCATCAACATTAACTGAAATATAATTATTTAGCTTATACGTCCATTATACATAAAATGCGCACGCGAAAACGTATTCTGCACTTGCGCACACTCATATGCGCAGTCGTAAAAGGTCTTACGCGCACGCGTGAATGCCTCTGCGCATGTGTCAACGCGGTGCATGCGCAGAAAGTTTTTAGTTTTGATGTCCGGATTATAGGTCATTCCGAATTATGGGTGTCCGAATTAACGACTTTTGACTGTAGCACTAAACTGGTGCATTATGTTTAATTTAGAAATATTCTTTCTAAATTAATTTTTCTATTTCATTCATAACTGAATTCTATTCTCAAAAACTACATTTTTCACTCTTCGTATATCGAAAACGTTGCTGATATGAAATTCTGGACGTTGGAAAATCTCCGAAGAGAAATTGGAGGAATCTGCAGAAAGAGGAGCACCAAGCAGGGCGGAGCAAAGCGAGACATCCTGAAAAGTCACCGTAATGTGGTGCCATCTATCAAAGCTAAATTTAACTAGATCAGTCATGTAACTAGATAATATTATGTACTCTGTTTTGAAAGTCGCAATGTGTAATTTTCAATATAATATGTTATATTGAGCCATGTTTTTCTCATAAAATGTAACTTTCTCAATATCTGTTAAAAATGTATAAATTTTCATTTCACTTTTCATTAACTTTTTTCTCTTTCATTCCTTCTCTTTCTCGTTTCTGTTGTAGCTACCTGGTAATAGGGGAATTTTTGGTGTCTATTTTCCTGAATGCATTTATAAAGTTCTAGCATAAAAAGGCAATTTTATTGGAAGAGAGTGGTTATATATTAAGTAAAATGGTCACTCTATTTCTGCTAGGCCCAGCAGCGGCTGAGCGGTAAAGTTACTGAACACTGGCAGTTCGTTCCGAATTTCGAATCCCGCGAAC